AAAAAAAAAAATTAATTTAAAAATTGTTTTTCAAATGTTTAATTGAAATCGAGTAAACCCATAAATCCATTTTCAAAAAAAAAAAAAAATCTCTATGTAACATTATTGTTTATTTTTATTTTAAGTAATTTAATTAATTTTAGTCATTTTAAAAAAATAAATTTAAAAGCACACAATGGCGTTAAAATAAATAAATACTCTTATGTTCTCTTATTTTATTATTATCAATATATGTATATATGTCATGAATAATTACAAATTATTTTAAAGCCCTGATTTTTTTATTTTTATTTTATTTTATTTTATTATTTATAATCAATTCAAAATGTTTTGATTTTTTCCAAAACCAAAAAAAAATTTCAAGCAAAGTCAAAAAACAAAAAAAAAAAAAATTTAAAATTTTATGAGTAGAGGAAATTATTTATATTAAATATTTATTATAAACGGTAACGAAATAAAATAATAATAATAATAAATCTTTTTTTTTTTAATATCAAATAAAAATAATTTTTTTTTAAATAAAATAAATTTAATAATTTTTGGCACGATATCTCTAAAAACCGTACAAAAAAAAAAAAAAAAAAAAATTAAAATTAATTTCCTCATCTCATTTTTTTTTTTATAAGTAAAAAATTAACCGTAAAATTTTGACTATGCTTAACAAATCACCATTATTATCATTATCATTATCATTTTTTTTTTATTAATAATTCATTATTAAAAGTACAAAAAATACTAGACTGAAAAATAAATAAAGAAAAAAAAAAATTTGTTTTTCTATGTGTTTTGATATGTAAAGTAAAAAACGCCCCCAAAAAAAAAAAAAAATTTTCTTTTTAACGAACTTTTTATTTCCGTTTTGTGTTATTAATTTTTTTTTTTTTTTATTTAAATTGTAATTAATTAAAAAAAAATCATCACTGGAATGATAATTGATAAGGATTATTAAATTTTTTTTTGATAATTATAAAATTAAATTTTTGGATAAATTTCTTCTTTTTTTTTTTAATAACCAAAATTTTATCCTACATAATCATCATCATCATCATCATCATCATAATCATTCCCATTATTTTGTACTATTTTTTTATTTTTTATAAATATTCTTATTAATTATCATTATTTATTTTTAAAAAAATGAATTAATGAATAATCTCTAAATATATATATGTAAATAAAAAAAAAAAAAAAAAGAAAAAAAAAATTCAATTTTCCTTTTTTCCATTTATTATCATTATTATTATTTTTAATTAAATTTCTATTTAAATAATTTCATTTAAAAAAATACATTTAAGCTTTTATTTATTTATTTATTTATTTTCCGGTTCGTGTTTTTAAATATAAAATTATTAATTATACTTATTTATTTATTGAATAGACAAAACTACAATAAAAAAAAAAAAAAAAAAACAAAATGGTGAAATTTATATATTGCAAAAGTGTTTTGTTGGGCTCTTTTCATTTACTCTCATATTTATATATATATAAAATTATATAGGAAAAAAAAAAAAAAATTGATCGGGTAGGTTTTATATATATATAAGATGATGAATTTCTTCTTCTTCTTTCTTCTTCATTTTTTTTTTTTTACCATGGGGGGCCTGCCACACAAAATAGCAAGGGAAAAATAGATGGGGCCTGCTCACCAGGTTATGATGAATGAATGAATGTATGAATGAGTGTTTGTTGTGAGTGTGTGAGTGCCCCTCCTTTTTTTTCTTTTCATCACGGAGTCAGTCCTATCCCGTTTAACGCAAAACAATCAACAAAAACCAACCGCATACCCATTATTATTATTATTATTATTATTAGCATTTGTTTACATCCGGTGGCGTTGACAAATATTCATCCGCTCTTTTATGATCGTTGAGAGCTTTTATTGTATACGTATCGTGAGGGAGTTCGGATTTCCGTCGAAGCAAAGGTTTATCCGCATTCAACTGTTTACGAACCTTTATTAAAAAAATAAACGTACAATTATTCATCAATGTTTTTTTTTTTCCTTAGCATTTCTCCATTATACTACACACACACACACACACACACACACACACACAATATTATCATTATTATAATACCTTGTTTGACTCGGCTTGAACTTTTTCATATGACATATCTACCTCTGGCTCTTGATCTCCGAAACCGACATTATCATAACTAGACACACTACTATTATTATTTTTATTTGGAGCATAATTAGGATTGCGTTTAGCGAGTTCCTCTATTCTGCACCAAATATCTTCTTTCCTTTTATCTTTTTCTTTCCTTTTATAACACACCAACAAAAATATTTATATTTATATATTTATACATAATTTACCAATTTATTCATTTTGTCTTATTATTATTATTTTTTTTTTTTTTAAACCGAATAAATAATAATTTAATTAATAAAATTTTTTCCCGTTGGTTTAATAATACAAAATTATATTTAATATGAAATTTTTCAATAAATAATTTTTTACAAGACGATTTAAAAACAAAAAAAAAAAAAAAAAAGAAAATTCTTACTTTAGTTTTTCTTTGTATTGCTGAGTGCATTCATCGAATAATTTTTGATTCATTTCCATAAAAAGCTTAAGAGCATTATAAATAAGTCCGTGAATAGTCCTAAAAATCCAAAAAAAAAAAACAAAACAAAAAATTTTCTCATTAAATAAACATATACAGATAATATAGAAATAATAAAGAAAATGAAAGTAAAAAAAAAAAAAAAAAAAAAATTCGACTCACTTGTTCCAATGGGATTTAGAATTACGGTAAAGTGAAGGAAACATTATTGGTAATATTTCAGCCGCGTTATCACTTATCAACGACATTATATATTCGTTATTCCAATAATACAAAGCTCTTTCGGCAACTTGAAAATGTGGCGATGACACGCATTTGGCCAATTGTCTAAATAATGGATCCATGACTTTTTGAAATTCTGCGGGCTCGATCACGTCTAATATTTCTTCCAATTCGTTTAAAAACATCACCTGACGCGCAAATTATTATGCAATTACATTATTATTATAATTTTTCCCTCCCTCATAAACGTACGGATAAAATTAATTTGATTTAAGAAAAAAAAAAAAAAAAAAAAGAAAATTTTTTTTTATAACCTCTTTGGGAGAATGCGTCTTTGGCCAATATTTGAGCAAATTTTTTATAACGGGTTCCGTTAGTGATGCGTCTTTTTCCAAAAACTGTACGACACAATATGCGAGCTGCGGATGATAAACTGATAATGACTTTACTTTGTGTAATGGCAATAAAACTTTTAATAGAAACACCTTGTGTTCGTCTTTTAATGGCAATGAAAATCCGTTAATAATACTAAATAAAAAAATATATATATTTAGATGATTGATTGTTTTCGATTGACAAAAATTTTTTTTTTTTTTCAATTTTAGGACTCACCTTCCTAATATTTCCAAAAGCTCGGCAATGCCATTGTGATGTTCAGTCTCGTATATAAACCTATAGAAAATATTATTTATTTGTTTTCGAATGTACGATCTCAGTCCCAAAAACTTTCCGTAAATCCTATGTAAAGTAGTCTTGAGAAAATCTCGCTCTCTCGGATCTTCCGAATCGAACAATTCCAATAACTGATCAAAAAATAATTTTTTATTCGTTTAGTCGTTTAAACTTTAGCAATCAAGTATTAAAAAAATTAAATTTTTTTGACTTACCTGAAACACAAATTTGTGATCGATATATCTCTTTGCATAATTCGGTTGGAAATCTGGAGATTCCACGAAACGAAGGAAAAATTCATAGACGAATTGAAGATGAGGCCAGGCGGCTTCCAAAGTCGGTTCATCTTCTTCCGGATCGAATTCCGCACCGTTCGGATTACTCGATGGTGGCAAAGTTCGAAAAAGATTTACCGTAAACTAAATGTATATAAATTAATTGTAACGTTATTATTATTATTATTATTATTATTATTATTATTTATGCTTACGTTTCTCACATTGAATCATTCATTTCTTACCATGCGCACAGCTTCCGGATATATGGCCTCCGTTATGACACCTCTTTGCGTTGTCACATATTCCACCATTTCGTGTAAAGCAGCTCGTTTCACTTCTTTCCATTTTAAATCAGACAATGGATCTGTCACGAAGTCAAATAAGACACAACACTGGCGTATTTTTTGAATGAACAATTCTTCTTTTTCATTACTTGGTACCTCTAGAAAAAAAAAAAAAAAAATCACTTTTTAGAATCGTCACTCTTACATTGGTAAAGTTTTTTTTTTTTTTTTTTTTTATTTTGTCACGACTTTAATTTTACATTGGCATTCGTATATAGCAGCCCCCTCCCCCTCCCCCCTTATTTTAACCATAAAAAAAAAACAAAAAAAAAACAAAACATTGTTATTGTTCTCAACATGAGAAAAAAAAAAAAAAAAAAAAAAAAAAACATTCCTTACCGATCAAAAGTGGCAAGTCCTTGAGGCAGCATTCTTTCGATATTGAACCTCTATTATTATTATTATTATTATTATTATTATTATTAATAATAATATTATTTAAATTTTCTTGTTCCTCGTTAACGTTCATAGCGTTTAAATTTTGAGAATTTGCCATTAAATCAAGGCCGAAATGAAAGCTTGGACTTTTTGGTAGGCCCAAAGATGGAGCCGAATAAAAACCAGCCCTCATTGAGGGACTCTTCTCGCTGTGAACCATCGCTTTACGAAATGGTTCGCAGTGACATTTTTTAAAATTATTGAACCCAGTTTAAATGAGAGATTTAAAACGATTGATGATAACAAAAAAAAAAAAAAAATAATAATAATAATAATGCAAAACGAACCAGTCGAACCGAACCAAACTAAATTCTATTTAAAATAAATTATTTTATAAATGTTATATTACTTTTCAATCGGAAAATGAAATCAAATCAATTTTTTGAACGAAATAATAAAAAAAAAAAAAAAATTATTAATCGATAGGTATTCGAAAAACTTTCACCACCACCACCACCACCACTACCACTCAATTATTTTGCAATTTTTTCCCTTCTTAAAAAAAAAAAATTCAAATTAAATCTTCTTTGACAGTATTCAATTCAAACGGCAAAAAAAAAAACAATCACTATTATTATTATTATTATTATTAATCAATTCACTAAATTTATTCTTATGTATCTCATTTATTTATTTATTTATTTAAAGTAGTAGTAGTAAAACTCAACGTTAATAATCCAAAAGATTTTTTTTTTTTTTTTTTTACAAAACACTATAAACTCTCAGTATTTGTAAGCAAAAAAAAAATAAATAAATAAGATACATAAGTAATTAATTATTATTATTATTATCGAAATTAAAACAATAATTTTTATTTAAAAATAAATTATTTTGCAAACTTGAATATGATTTGAAAGAATAGTAGGGAGGTTAAGGTCAAATCCTTATAACGTAAAATAATTAATTATAAATCAATTTTGAAATAATATTAATAATAAGCCCGGGGCGGGGGGGGGGGAAAAAACTTTCACACTCTGCTTTGCAAAATCAACGCGACTGAAATAATAATAATAATAATAATAATAATCACACGGTTTTTTACGTTCTCGTATAATAAATAATAAATAATAATAATAATAAAATCAAAATCCGTAGAAAATAACACACAATATGGAAGAAAACTCCGTCGAGAGAGAGAAAACAATATGGAGATGATTGATTCAGCTAGAGAGAAGAGGAACAAGAAATTTCTATGGAAACGCGACGTCTCTTTATTCCATCTACCTTTTTTTTACCCCATAACGCAACGCAAATCTTTCCGATGACAAAAAAAAATTATTATTATTATTATTATTATTTCAAAATCAACAAAAATAAATCAGGTACACAACAACAATTAATTATTTTCCTTTTTTTAAAACATTTAAACATAAAATTTGAAAAGAAAATTAATCCATCGGAATAAATTGTAGAAAAAAAAAAACAAAAAAAAAAATAATAATAATAATAATAATAATAATAATTTCATCAAGTTTTTTTTTTTTGTGTCAAAAAGAAAGAATACCTTCAATAATAATGATAATAATAATAATAATAATGTCAACTATTATCGATACCGCAATTGATCTTTGTAAATAACCTTTGAATGGGAGGAGGGGATGGGTGAGGGGTGAGGGGAGGGAGAAAAAAGGCGCCAAATAAAATTTAAAAATTTAAAATTTTTTTGCTTACCTTTGAGAAGAGGTAATTTTTGTAGTTCGCGGTCTTTAGATATATTAAACCTTGATGAACCTTGTCGTTTGTCTTTTTTCACATGAGGCGGACCGGGAAATTTTATTTTATTTATTAACGTGGGAGGAGGAACATTTCCGACCAGCGAAAATTGACCCCCGACGACGTTATTCCCTACTTTGTTGCCCTGAAAAAAAAAAATAAAATAAAATAAAATTTTTTTTTAATTTAATAAATTTAATTATATATATATATATATATATATATATATATATATATATATATTCTTTTTGGCATGGCTACCATCATTCAATGATTACACAATCACATCTCCTGTATACAAATAAGATGATAAAAAAAAAAAAAAAAATTCAACCTAAATTTTTTATTCCAAAGCATTTTTTTTTTGAACATATAAAAAAAGTGGGATCAATTTTTAATTGATTAGATATCAATCAATCAATCAATTTTTCAATATTATTATTATTAATATATTCAATTGTTTAATAAAAATTAACAAATTGCAAAACTATTTTTTAAGGTTATTTGTTTTGTTTTTTTTTTTTTTTTTTTTTATTTAAATTTCCTAAATTTTAAATTAAATCTTATCATTTTTTTTTTTTTTTAAATAAAATATCAGTTTTAAAATATTAAAAAAATATTTCACTGATATAAAATTATTGATATAATTTATTAAAAAAAATCAAGATAAGAATTTTCAATTATTATTATTAAAAAAAAAAAAAAAAAAAAAATATATATATATGTGTGTGTGATTTTAAAAGTTGAATGGGGGGGGGGATGGGGGGTTCGACTAACAAATACAATTCAAACTTACACTTTTTTTTTTTGTAATGATATGCATGATGTAATATTAATGTAATTATCACAAGAGAAAACATTTAAATTTTTTTATACAAATTTTATAAAATAAAATTAATTTACATTAACAATTACACTTTTTATAATTATCATTAATAATTTATATTTAATGGCCTCTTTAAAAAAAAAAAATAGGTAAATACATGGCCAAAAAAAATAAACATAAAGATTTCAATAATAATAAATGTTACAACAGTATGTTATTGAATTTTCTCATCGAGAAAGCTAAAAATTTTTTTTTCAATGAAACATATAAAAATTTAATTGAAATAATTAATAAAAAAAAAAAAAAAAAATAGTAAGAGAACAAGATGAAACATGTTCTTATTAGCTTGGTAAAAAAAAAAAAAAATTAGTTAGGCTTATCAAATTAAGATATAGAATGCTAGTACTAAATATAACGATTAGCACAATTCCGAGTTTAAAAGAAAGTTTAAATATTAACCATCGTTAAAATAATGAAAATATTATAATAATAAAACATACACTAATAATATTTGTTTTGATTTTGTCGAATAATAATAATAATAAAGCTCGATATAAAAATAATAATGATGCAAAATAGGTTATTTTAAAATTATGAGAGAATTTCATTAATTAAAAAATGATAAATTAATTAAATTGATATTAAAATTTTTTTTTTTTTTTTTTGTCGATCTAAGGAAAGTCAGTATTTTAAAATTATTAGAGATTAAAATTGTTAGTTTTTTAATCGAGTAGTAATCGCATTGTTCATGTCATATGACTTTTTAATCGTCATTACATAATACACAATACATAATCTTCTTCCCTTAATTTTTTTTTAATAAAATATAATTAAAATCCTGAAAATTAAAATATAAATATTCGCACACACACACACATATATATATTTTACATTACCACTTATGTATTTCAAATAAATAAATGATTAGTCGAGAAAATATATTATTTAAAGCGTATTAATTTCTCGAAAACATACTAATTACAAAAAAAAAAAAAAATACTTAAAAATTTTGTACTTTATTGTGCAGAAAGATTATTATCATAAATTGCAATTTAATTTTTAATTGGCATTTCATTTTTTTTTTTTTTGTTAAGTACCAAGATAATTTATATTTAATAAAACAAATAAATATGTCTGTAACATATTATATATGGAATAAAGTAAAATTTAATAATAATATAAATGTATTAAGTGTTTTTTTTTTAACATGTCCATATCCTACTACCTTTTATGCCTTAATAACTATGATAACTCACAGGCTTAAGCCTTTTTTCCACACCCTTTTATTCAAAAAAAAAAAAAAAAAAAAGGAAATAATTTTTTTATGTATGATACTTACTTCTTCATTAGACTCTGTTTCTCCGTTACCGGAAAGAACTTTTGACTTGGCCGAGTCCTGCATGGACAAAATGCAAACGCAATTCACGGTCGTAAAACGCTAAACAAACAAGGACTAGTAAACGATACTGAATACAGGCTGTAGTAGGCCTACGTGTTAAAACATGACACGGAGTCACCTTAAAAGTAAGTTATAAAACTGTTCACGAAATGCAACTGCATAAAATTTTTATACATAAAACTAAGGCAACCTTTATTTAGAATAATTCTACTGTTCATGTAAAATGAAATTTAATATTTGTTTGTTCTGTAAATTTTTTGACATCTTTCTCATACCACGAATTTAGATATCCACCGCCTTCTAAATCATAAATTTTAATTGAAGGCAAGGTCGCCGGGCTAAAACGTAAAAATGTTTTTTATTAATCTCTAATTATTCTCTAACACTAATAAATATTTTTTTAAATATAATTTTGAATTTCAATTGATAATGTCGAAAATAACCAATAAGTAAAATAAATAATTGTAATCGACAAATTTATGTACTTTACGAATTAGTACCTTATATACGTAAAAACAAAAAAAAAAAAAAAAAATCATACGAAAGTAAGAAAATAAATACAATTATTGTACATTAAAAATTAATAATATTTCCGATTTAGATTATGTATACTATTACATAAATTAAAAATTGATTGAATAAAATATTTATTAAACATTTTTTCAAACTCCAATGTTATTTTAATTTGTTATATAGATATATTTAAAGTACTTACCGACATTAAATTCAAATGGCTGTTCATCAATATTAACAAGCATTTATTAAATTGGTTAAATAAGAATATTTGTATTAATTTTTAAAAAATGACAAGAAATTAATAACAATAACTAACCTGTAAAAAAAAAAGAAACTAAACAATTCAGTTATATAAGTACAAAAAAAAAGGTTATAAAAAAATAACTTTTTTTGTTAAACAAATATATCATTAATTAAATACGTCTTTCTCTATTGACAGAAACAATCAAATTCAAAATGACGAAATATCATTTACTCCAAAGAAAAATTCAAATTCAAATAAATGGGTGATAATGAACGTTTATTGAAAACAAAAAAAAAAACTGAAAAAAAAAATGATCAGGGGAATTTTGTACCAGGAGAGTATAACAAAAGTAGGTATAAAAAAAAATTCAAATTACTCTCGACGAATTAAAACCAAAGGTTGAAGGTTGAAGGTTGAACGAGGTGTGTGCATGTTTAGGTAGTTGGATGCGGCGTTGATCCATTGGGAACGATTTACGAGACTTTGTATCAGGCTGTGAACGATCCGAAAAACGGATTTAAAAATCCGTCGGAAATTCTTCCCATAACACCGGAAACAGTAAATAAGGTATTTTCGTCGACGGAAGGGGATGGTTCGGGAGGTGGAGGAGGAGGGGGAATCAACGAAGTTTCTCAACAGAGTTGAACGCAAAAATTAAAAATGAAAAAAAAAATTAATTATATTAAAATAGATTTCAGGAAAAAAAAAAAGCAAAAATGATTATTTATTATGCTCTCTGCAATTTGTTTTGTCAATATTGCAACATTGACGAAATTCATAACGGTCAGATTAAAATAATAATAACATTTACCTCTAGTCTAACTAAAAAAAAAAAAAAATTTTATATTTCTGTCTGAAAAGTGAAATTGAAATAAGTACAGTAGAAAAAAAAAAAAAAATTAAAGAGCACACAAAAATATATATATATATATATATATTTTGTTTCTTTAAGGGATTTAATAATAATCGAAGCCAAACGGAATCGTAGAAACCGAGTAGTACTGCTGCTGCTGCTGCTGCTGGTATAATAACATGATTTAGAGCGATGGTAAAACTTTCATTTGGATGAACGAGTATACTCGGTGCCTTGTCAATATATATATATAAAACATACGTGTTGTCTTGGGCCCTTCGATACATACATATATATATATATTTTTTTTTTTTTGTAAAAGTCACAACCACTTGTGCTATAAATCAAACAGAGCATTTTTTTTTTTTTTCCTCAACCGTTGACCAATCGAACGAAATTAAAATTCCACTGAAATATTTCTCCTTTTTTTCTAATAATTAGCGTAGTAACCTCCCCATCCCGGTTGCCCATAGTTATAACTGCCCTGAGAATAAGCGTTCCAATTTTGATAATTATTTGTGTATGTCGCATCCGCGGTTTGGGCTTGAGGTTGTTGAGAGTATTGTCCGTAGCTGTATCCGGCCGGATATTGACCTTGATGGTATCCGGGATAACCTTGTGAGTATCCTGCCGTCGGGTACGCCGACGCGGTTGGAGTAGAGGGTTGTGCCGTAGTCGGAGGCAAAGGTGGTTGCGTCGTAGTATGATTCGTTTCCGATTTTTGTTTTTTTGTGGCCGATAAAGAATGAGAAGACGCTGCCAATCCGTCTTTGTAATTTTCTGTATCTCCCAACTTTTTCTTTCTTTCCTTTACTTGTTTTAAATATTTTTGGTATTCGTCGTGCGCTTTTTGAACTCTGAAAATTTAAAAAATAATTCCAATTATTTCCGAACTGCGAAGAGGCAATTTTATAAATAATTTTTTATTATAATGTTAATGATGATTATTACTTTGTAATGTCCGAACCGAAATCTTCTAAAAATTCAATTTTTCTCTGGGCAAACATTAATTTTTGTTCCGGTTCTCCTTCCTTATTTAAAAATTGGTCCAATATGCTTATAATACTGTTCTCATCGATTGGAGTTTTTTGAAGTCCCATATCTATAAGTTGTAGATAAAGTCTAGTATTGTCTTTGTCTTTTTCAACAGCTTTCCTTAATATCGATACTGCTTTTTCAACGTCGTTTAATATCTGAAAAATAAAAAAAATTGTGTGATTAAACATTATGAAAATCATTTCGAATCAGTTTAGTATTCAAAATGTCGCACGAACGTACTTTCCATGTGAATCTCGCATATTTAACTGTCATGTTTGTTAAAACGGCTTTATTTTTAGCATTTGCCAAATACAATTCGTATAATTCGCAAACTTTATTTAAATCTCCTTTTCGTCTTTCCAAATTAATTCTTCTATAAGCGACAGGAAGTAAATTTGGAACGGCTTTCTCTAAATTTTCTAATATGGAAGCAGCTTTGTCGAAACAACCTAAATAGGAAAAACAATTTACACCGTAATTTAACACAGTATTTCACAAAAAAAAATAAAAATGGTTTTCAGGAATATGTGATTTACCTTTACTTTCTTCAAAAACAGCCCACTGAAGATGTAAATTGGGTTTTTTTTTGTGGTGAATTAAACAAGCTCTTTCGTAAACATCTCTAATTTTTTCAGTCATGTCCTCTGGAATGGATTCTAAATAACGTACAAACTGAAAAATTACCGAAACATCAAAATCAAATTATCGAATATCATTTAAATAAAATAGTAACAAATGTAATATTATGATAATTAATTACCCTGATCCAAAACTCTTCGTAAAGTGCGCAAGCAATGAGACAACGCTCGTACAATATAATAATTCTATCTTTGTTTCCCTGTTCCGTTTCAAAATCTAAATATTCCTTCCAATTTTTCAACTGACACCTTTCCAACGGTTTTACATGAAAATATGGTCGCTTGATCTAAAAAAAGTATTTTAAATATAAAATAATCAAGTAGTATATTTATTTTACTTATGATTCCAGTAAATTAATGGTTCAACTTTGATTTAATCCGTTGTTTTTTTTCTTAAATTTTTAATAATTAAATGAATATACTTACACCTTCTTCGTAATTCCATCTGGCAGCCACTGCGGCCACCGTAAGTTTATGAACTTTTCGGCGAGTCGAAACAATTTTTTCCCTTAAAGCCGAAGTTTCTTCGTCCATGCGCTGTAACGAAATACATTTTATAATATACTTATTAACCGTTAAAAAGTTAAGTAAAACGCCTTTAACGTAATTTACACATACCGTCGTGATAGACGCAAAAGCTTGACCCTTTTCTACGTTGTCATCATCATCATCGTTTTCAGCACCAGGAGGAGCTTCTTCTTCCGCTGTTGACGCATTAGTCGATGCAGGAGGGTCGTATTGTTTTAACATACGCAAGACTTCTCTGCGAAGTTGAAGAAAATCATCTACCGGCAAGATGGTTTGAGGAGGATTACTGCTCACGTGTTCTTGAAAACTGAAAACAAAATTTTTATCATTTTTTAATTTCTCTTCGCTTAACAAAATTTTATTCAATAATTAAAAAAAAGTTTCAAACTCACTTATCAAAATGAGTTGTATATCCTTGAGTGGGAGTTGCAAGTAGCCGGTCGTACAAAGCAGTAATTCTAGTTAACCGTTTTCCTTCCGTTTCCCATTTGATGTATGTTTCCCAGAGGCGATCAGATCTAAAAAAAAATACACGAAAAATTTTATTGTAAATACGTGCCTACGCATCGACAACGTTTACTTATTTTCGTACCTGAACTCTAATCCGCAGGCTTCTATGGCGCGTTCGAATTGAGCCCTTAAATGTTCTTCGTTTTCCGCATAAACCGTTTTACAGTAGTTGAGGTAATGTATCCAGAGATCGACGCTTAAAGGAATCGCTTTTAGACCTCGATCAAACACCTAAACGAAAAACATTTGGAAAATCCTACATTAATTATTTTCGATTGAATAACCAATTCCGCATGCCTCCGAAAATAAATCATCAAGTTAAAGTAATCGACAAAATAAAAATCAAAAATAATCTCATCGTTTATCTTATGATTGTTAATTCGTCTTACGAGAGAGAAAATTGTGGCTTGGTCTGAAGGCATCCTGTCTCGACCCACGTTCATCCGAGCACTCGCCAAGCAGCTTGCAATCCTGGCCCACATTTTTTTTACCTTACTTAAATTTAAGATTTCATACAAACTATGCAATACAAATTTACAAATACAATCTCATCATAAAATTACACTTTAAATTCAAACACAGAGATATAAATTTAAATTAAATGAAATAATATATATGTATATATATATATAAAATATTTTTGAAATCTCAGATATAATAAACGATGAATTACCAATGAGAGATGGTTTTAGCCGCAGGAGATCTCGATCCGATGAAGCTGTCGGAAAAAAGAATTCAAACGAGTTGATAATATTTTAATTGAGGAGTGATCAATTGAATCAAGATGGAAACCTATGAAATTGAAAACAACTAAATTTGAAATTAGTGACCAGGTGAAATCTACGTACCTCTTCGCACTTTTCGTTGGTGCTTTTCCTCTTTTCATAGTCGGCGTACTTCCTCCAGTATCCATAACAGTAAGGATAATAAGATAAAAAGGAATCGTAAGCCTCTCTCGCTGCTTCTACGTCATTCTGAAGCACAAAGTAAAATATTTACATTTACATATGGTACAATTTTAAATCAAATGAAATCTAATATTAAAGTGTTATTACTACCAACCTCTTGGTCAACATATTGCAGTAAATAAGTCCAGCCTGTAAAATCAGTTGCATCATCTTTCACTGCTTTCCAATATTTTTCAAGTTCAGGCAAAACTTTTTTCGCCTAAAAGAATCAAACCAAATGTTACAGTTAATTTAGCATGCAGCTAATAACACATATTTTTTCAAAATACAAAATTAGTAAGGTTTAAGAATACATACGCTTGGTTTTGGAGTTGTGGCTTTCGAATCACCCACAGCAGCTTTTTTTGTTGCTGGCATGTCATCTTGGCTGTTTTCACTTGTCGGAGAACTAGGGTCATATTCTCCTTCAATTATTTTCCGCTTTGTTGCTTCTGACTTTTTAACTTTATCATTTTCCTTTTCTTTGGTCTGTTTCTTTTTTTTCTCACCATTGCCATATGGTAATTCATCTTCTGAAACTGCCTCTGTATCTACTAATAATATTCAATTATTTTAAATAATTATCTTGTTCTTAAAATTTTGTAGTCACTTAATAATAATTAAGTCATTAGTTACCAGTTCTATTGATTTTTTTTCTTCTTTTTTGATCTGCTTCAAGTGGCAACTCATCCTCTGAAACAGCTTCCGTATCGAGTAAGCTTTCTGAAACTTTAACTGTAGAATCTGGAAGTTCTTCATCACTTACAGCTTCTGTGTCCAAGGGATCTTTTCCTTCGAGTCTCAATTCATCCTCAGATACCATTTCTGTATCTTCCATTCCTTCCTAAAAAATTAATTTAATAATAAACCTAAATTTTCTTATTGCAAGTAATTATGATATAAGATATTTCTTTATATAAATAAGTAAAAACATTCAATTTTTTATTGATAGACATGAATGTACATTTTCGTACCTCACTTTGGCTAGAATGCTCATCATCATTTATTTCATCAATAACTGTCATTTTTTCTATACTTTTTTCTTCTTCCGATTTTAATTCAATTTCACTATCATCTTTTGCATAAAAATTTTCATCAACATCTCCTTTTCTTTCTAAAAGATTCAAACTCTCTTTTTTATGCCTTTTCTTTTGCTCCTGCAGAATTTCCCTACCGCATTGGGATTCTAATATTGCATCTATATCTAAACCAACCTGTGTGAAATACACTTAGAATTAATTTATTTACATTAAATTGTGTGATAACAAAGTTTATAAAGTATTAATTTATGTTTCTAATTGAGTAATAGTTTGTTAAAATTTCTAAAGTATTTAATAATTTCTAAAATGTATCTTTAAAAGGTAATCAACCTTTTACTAATATATATGTTTTATATATTTTGATAAATTTTGACTTTATTAATATTTTGTACGTTATATTTATGGGTATTGAGGTATTTAATAAATAAAAAATTTACATTTTTTAAACGACATACTTCCATGCTAAATATTAATTTGTTATTCTAATTTTTGAATATTCACAGCCTTCCAATAACAAGTTTAATTGAAGAACCGGCAAAAATCTTAAATATCTGTTTTATTTTAGTAAATGTTAGCATTTTGAATAAATTCAGTAGCAACATTTTATTTTATTTTTTTTATTATTTTTAATAATTAAAGACATTTTGTCAGAGAATTGCAATTAAAATAATATTAAGCAATAGTTAACTCAGAGATTAGTTTTTTTATTCAACGTTTTTGTTTTTTTTTTTTTTTTTTTTTTTTTTTTCGGTCACCGCCATTTGTATTTAAGTTTTTTGATTTTGTAGACGCCATTTCCATTTTGGACCTTGTCAGTAGTAATAAATTTAATTATTAAACAAGCATTTGTTATTGATGCTTTAAAGTGTTTTTAATTTATTATCATTTCTACATGTCTAACAGTAGTAAAAGTTAATATTATTTTTTAAAAAAATACTATAAAATTACTGTGCTTGAGGTTGATATATTTAAAAAATTTTTTGTAGGTATTACTCAAAATAAATCTTCACGAAAAACAGCTTCCAGAAGTAAATCTAAAATTACTTCAAAAAGCAGAAATAAAAGAAATGACAGTTGTGAAAATTTAGAAGAAGACCAAAATGGTATATCAATACGAAATGAAGAAAATGATGATGTTCCCGAATTAGAAGACCTAGATCCTCCTATTGTTTCTTCTCAACAGAACACTGCTCGTGGACTTTTTCGTATGTCTTCATTAGGTGATACATCAGCGTTATTTGAAATGAATATGGAAGCCTTAAATAAAAACGGAAGAAAAAAAGAAGAAACTTTACAGAATGATGAGACGCAACTTTTCAGTGAAATGGAAAATGATATTAATGAATCCCAGGCTGAGGTAAACATGTGCATTAAAAATAATTAAAACTTTTAAGCAACAAATAATTATAAAATTTTTTTTTAAAATAATAATATTAATAATCACAAAATATAATGTAAATAAATTAATTGTATGTGTATTTCACACAGGTTGGTTTAGATATAGATGCGATATTAGAATCCCAATGCGGTAGGGAAATTCTGCAGGAGCAAAAGAAAAGGCATAAAAAAGAGAGTTTGAATCTTTTAGAAAGGAAAGGAGATGTTGATGAAAATTTTTATGCAAAAGATGATAGTGAAATTGAATTAAAATCGGAAGAAGAAAAAAGTATAGAGAAAATGACAGTTATTGATGAAATAAATGATGATGAGCATTCTAGCCAAAGTGAGGTACAAAAATGTCTATTCATGTTAAGTTAATTAATATTAATGTTAATATTAAGTTAAGTAATTAGCAAAATTTTTTTAATTTTTTTTTTAGGAAGGAATGGAAGATACAGAAATGGTATCTGAGGATGAATTGAGACTCGAAGGAAAAGATCCCTTGGACACAGAAGCTGTAAGTGATGAAGAACTTCCAGATTCTACAGTTAAAGTTTCAGAAAGCTTACTCGATACGGAAGCTGTTTCAGAGGATGAGTTGCCACTTGAAGCAGATCAAAAAAGAAGAAAAAAAATCAATAGAACTGGTAACTAATGACTTAATTATTACTAAATGACTACAATATTTTAAGAACAGGATAATTATTTAAAATAATTGAATATTTTTAGTAGACACAGAGGCAGTTTCAGAAGATGAATTACCATATGGCAATGGTGAGAAAAAAAAGAAACAGACCAAAGAAAAGGAAAATGATAAAGTTAAAAAGTCAGAAGCAACAAAGCGAAAAATAATTGAAGGAGAATATGACCCTAGTTCTCCGACAAGTGAAAACAGCCAAGATGACATGCCAGCAACAAAAAAAGCTGCTGTGGGTGATTCGAAAGCCACAACTCCAAAACCAAGCGTATGTATTCTTAAACCTTACTAATTTTACATTTTAAAAAAATATATGTTATTAGCTGCATGCTAAATTAACTGTAACATTTGGTTTGATTCTTTTAGGCGAAAAAAGTTTTGCCTGAACTTGAAAAATATTGGAAAGCAGTAAAAGATGATGCAACTGATTTTACAGGCTGGACTTATTTACTGCAGTATGTTGACCAAGAGGTTGGTAGACACTTTATTATAGTAAAAATCAAAGGGTTTACTGTGTAAAATTTACCCTCCCCTCCCCCTCACTGATTTTTGTAAATTATTAGATTCATTTGATTTAAAATTGTAAATGTATGTATTTCACTTTATGCTTCAGAATGATGTAGAAGCAGCGAGAGAGGCTTACGATTCCTTTTTATCTTATTATCCTTACTGTTATGGATACTGGAGGAAGTACGCCGACTATGAAAAGAGGAAAAGCACCAACGAAAAGTGCGAAGAGGTACGTAGATTTCACCTGGTCACTAATTTCAAATTTAGTTGTTTTCAATTTCATAGGTTTCCATCTTGATTCAATTGATCACTCCTCAATTAAAATATTATCAACTCGTTTGAATTCTTTTTTCCGACAGCTTCATCGGATCGAGATCTCCTGCGGCTAAAACCATCTCTCATTGGTAATTCATCGTTTATTATATCTGAGATTTCAAAAATATTTTATATATATATATATATATATATACATATATATTATTTCATTTAATTTAAATTTATATCTCTGTGTTTGAATTTAAAGTGTAATTTTATGATGAGATTGTATTTGTAAATTTGTATTGCATAGTTTGTATGAAATCTTAAATTTAAGTAAGGTAAAAAAAATGTGGGCCAGGATTGCAAGCTGCTTGGCGAGTGCTCGGATGAACGTGGGTCGAGACAGGATGCCTTCAGACCAAGCCACAATTTTCTCTCTCGTAAGACGAATTAACAATCATAAGATAAACGATGAGATTATTTTTGATTTTTATTTTGTCGATTACTTTAACTTGATGATTTATTTTCGGAGGCATGCGGAATTGGTTATTCAATCGAAAATAATTAATGTAGGATTTTCCAAATGTTTTTCGTTTAGGTGTTTGATCGAGGTCTAAAAGCGATTCCTTTAAGCGTCGATCTCTGGATACATTACCTCAACTACTGTAAAACGGTTTATGCGGAAAACGAAGAACATTTAAGGGCTCAATTCGAACGCGCCATAGAAGCCTGCGGATTAGAGTTCAGGTACGAAAATAAGTAAACGTTGTCGATGCGTAGGCACGTATTTACAATAAAATTTTTCATGTATTTTTTTTTAGATCTGATCGCCTCTGGGAAACATACATCAAATGGGAAACGGAAGGAAAACGGTTAACTAGAATTACTGCTTTGTACGACCGGCTACTTGCAACTCCCACTCAAGGATATACAACTCATTTTGATAAGTGAGTTTGAAACTTTTTTTTAATTATTGAATAAAATTTTGTTAAGCGAAGAGAAATTAAAAAATGATAAAAATTTTGTTTTCAGTTTTCAAGAACACGTGAGCAGTAATCCTCCTCAAACCATCTTGCCGGTAGATGATTTTCTTCAACTTCGCAGAGAAGTCTTGCGTATGTTAAAACAATACGACCCTCCTGCATCGACTAATGCGTCAACAGCGGAAGAAGAAGCTCCTCCTGGTGCTGAAAACGATGATGATGATGACAACGTAGAAAAGGGTCAAGCTTTTGCGTCTATCACGACGGTATGTGTAAATTACGTTAAAGGCGTTTTACTTAACTTTTTAACGGTTAATAAGTATATTATAAAATGTATTTCGTTACAGCGCATGGACGAAGAAACTTCGGCTTTAAGGGAAAAAATTGTTTCGACTCGCCGAAAAGTTCATAAACTTACGGTGGCCGCAGTGGCTGCCAGATGGAATTACGAAGAAGGTGTAAGTATATTCATTTAATTATTAAAAATTTAAGAAAAAAAACAACGGATTAAATCAAAGTTGAACCATTAATTTACTGGAATCATAAGTAAAATAAATATACTACTTGATTATTTTATATTTAAAATACTTTTTTTAGATCAAGCGACCATATTTTCATGTAAAACCGTTGGAAAGGTGTCAGTTGAAAAATTGGAAGGAATATTTAGATTTTGAAACGGAACAGGGAAACAAAGATAGAATTATTATATTGTACGAGCGTTGTCTCATTGCTTGCGCACTTTACGAAGAGTTTTGGATCAGGGTAATTAATTATCATAATATTACATTTGTTACTATTTTATTTAAATGATATTCGATAATTTGATTTTGATGTTTCGGTAATTTTTCAGTTTGTACGTTATTTAGAATCCATTCCAGAGGACATGACTGAAAAAATTAGAGATGTTTACGAAAGAGCTTGTTTAATTCACCACAAAAAAAAACCCAATTTACATCTTCAGTGGGCTGTTTTTGAAGAAAGTAAAGGTAAATCACATATTCCTGAAAACCATTTTTATTTTTTTTTGTGAAATACTGTGTTAAATTACGGTGTAAATTGTTTTTCCTATTTAGGTTGTTTCGACAAAGCTGCTTCCATATTAGAAAATTTAGAGAAAGCCGTTCCAAATTTACTTCCTGTCGCTTATAGAAGAATTAATTTGGAAAGACGAAAAGGAGATTTAAATAAAGTTTGCGAATTATACGAATTGTATTTGGCAAATGCTAAAAATAAAGCCGTTTTAACAAACATGACAGTTAAATATGCGAGATTCACATGGAAAGTACGTTCGTGCGACATTTTGAATACTAAACTGATTCGAAATGATTTTCATAATGTTTAATCACACAATTTTTTTTATTTTTCAGATATTAAACGACGTTGAAAAAGCAGTATCGATATTAAGGAAAGCTGTTGAAAAAGACAAAGACAATACTAGACTTTATCTACAACTTATAGATATGGGACTTCAAAAAACTCCAATCGATGAGAACAGTATTATAAGCATATTGGACCAATTTTTAAATAAGGAAGGAGAACCGGAACAAAAATTAATGTTTGCCCAGAGAAAAATTGAATTTTTAGAAGATTTCGGTTCGGACATTACAAAGTAATAATCATCATTAACATTATAATAAAAAATTATTTATAAAATTGCCTCTTCGCAGTTCGGAAATAATTGGAATTATTTTTTAAATTTTCAGAGTTCAAAAAGCGCACGACGAATACCAAAAATATTTAAAACAAGTAAAGGAAAGAAAGAAAAAGTTGGGAGATACAGAAAATTACAAAGACGGATTGGCAGCGTCTTCTCATTCTTTATCGGCCACAAAAAAACAAAAATCGGAAACGAATCATACTACGACGCAACCACCTTTGCCTCCGACTACGGCACAACCCTCTACTCCAACCGCGTCGGCGTACCCGACGGCAGGATACTCACAAGGTTATCCCGGATACCATCAAGGTCAATATCCGGCCGGATACAGCTACGGACAATACTCTCAACAACCTCAAGCCCAAACCGCGGATGCGACATACACAAATAATTATCAAAATTGGAACGCTTATTCTCAGGGCAGTTATAACTATGGGCAACCGGGATGGGGAGGTTACTACGCTAATTATTAGAAAAGGAAGAAATATTTCAGTGGAATTTTAATTTCGTTCGATTGGTCAACGGTTGAGGAAAAAAAAAAAAAATGCTCTGTTTGATTTATAGCACAAGTGGTTGTGACTTTTACAAAAAAAAAAAAATATATATATATATGTATGTATCGAAGGGCCCAAGACAACACGTATGTTTTATATATATATATTGACAAGGCACCGAGTATACTCGTTCATCCAAATGAAAGTTTTACCATCGCTCTAAATCATGTTATTATACCAGCAGCAGCAGCAGCAGCAGTACTACTCGGTTTCTACGATTCCGTTTGGCTTCGATTATTATTAAATCCCTTAAAGAAACAAAATATATATATATATATATATATTTTTGTGTGCTCTTTAATTTTTTTTTTTTTTCTACTGTACTTATTTCAATTTCACTTTTCAGACAGAAATATAAAATTTTTTTTTTTTTTTAGTTAGACTAGAGGTAAATGTTATTATTATTTTAATCTGACCGTTATGAATTTCGTCAATGTTGCAAAATTGACAAAACAAATTGCAGAGAGCATAATAAATAATCATTTTTGCTTTTTTTTTTTCCTGAAATCTATTTTAATATAATTAATTTTTTTTTTCATTTTTAATTTTTGCGTTCAACTCTGTTGAGAAACTTCGTTGATTCCCCCTCCTCCTCCACCTCCCGAACCATCCCCTTCCGTCGACGAAAATACCTTATTTACTGTTTCCGGTGTTATGGGAAGAATTTCCGACGGATTTTTAAATCCGTTTTTCGGATCGTTCACAGCCTGATACAAAGTCTCGTAAATCGTACCCAAAACGGCAAATGAACGTTTTTGCACGGTGCTTCTGTGAACGGCACTCGATAGATGAGCTAACTGAGGGATTTGATACGAATTCGGATACGCTAGAAATTTTTCCAGTTTTCCCTGAATTAAATGAAACATATTGAAGGAATTTAATCAAACAATAGACCGAATTTATTGTAAACGTTTTGACGTGGGTAACTCACGGAGACTCCAATCAACTTGGATGGTTCCATCGCGGGCAAAGTGCTCAAAGGTTTAGTCGAATTACTTTGCAAAACGGTGTAAATGTGTCCTAGTCCAAGATGTCCCACCAAGGCACCTGCTTGTTCTGACGTCAGAGTATCGATTTGAGCGTCGCATTGCAACTACAAAAATAAATTTTCAATTTCCTTTTTTATTCTCTTTAGACGTTTGCGATTGCAAAGCTATGCACTTGCCTTGATTCTCTCTAATCTCTCATCTAAAAACGGGTATAACGCCAACGATGTTTCTATGTAGTGAAAATTGTTCAGAAGGTATACGGCCATTTCTGTAACTGGTAATTTAGATGCTGTCTCCGTTATTTGATTCATCAGTGGATCGACGCCGCATCCAACTACCTGAACACACACACACACACCCCTCGTTCAACCTTCAACCTTTTTGTTTTAAATCGTCGAGAGTAATATGAATTTTTTTTTGTACCTACTTTTGTCACGTGATTTTCACTGATTGACGACGATGGATTCGCCGTCAACACTTGTACTAAAAACTGAACTATTTTTTCCGTAGACTCTCCCGGTAAAAGATTTCCCTGTTCATTTTTTTTTTCTTGTCCTAAAATGGCTGAGACTTTGTTTTGAAGTGAAAATATAAATGCTTTTTCTGCTATTTCAATAAGATCCGTAAATGTTGCATTTAATTTACTGTTAGAAATAATCTAAAATAATATATTTGGGTTATTACCAAATTTTTTAAATTTGGCTTTAGTATATATAAAATCTTACCTGAGAAATAATATTGTTGTATTCCTTGAGCAAAATGTATATATCTTGAAGTAATATATAATCCTGAGAATTTTCTTCTCCTAATAAAACATGTTCTATCCTTACACGAAGAGGATGACAAATTCCTTCTGTAATTTTTCTAAGAGTTTGCATAACGTAATCATCTGTAGAAATACAAAAAAAAAAAAAAAAAAAATTGATTAAATTATTTTTTTTTAATATATTTAAAATGTAATTTATTATATTTTATTACTTACCTCCATTTTCACAATTTTTAAGTAAGTAATTTAAATATTCTAATTCCGTGGGTAATGCTTGATGCAACCAAGCAAGCATATCTCCAACATATCGTCTTGGCTCTGTAACTCTATGCTCGATAGGTTTTCCGCCAAGAGTTAATGCATCAATAAAATGCCTCACTAATACTATACTGCGATTAGCTGATATTTCTTCAAGAATCTGGCTGCAAAAAAGAAAATTTATAATAATTAAAAAACATTGATTGCAAAAAAAAAAATTATAATAATTATAAATTATTTGATAACTTACTCAAACAAAATAGGCTTACTCTGAAGTTTGGATAAAGCTTGAGGAAGAATGGAACTTAAAACAGTAGTTTCTGATGCACTGCATTTTCCTCTTACCCATTTTAATAATCTTTCCATTCCAGTTTCCTAAAAAAAAAAAAAAAAAGTTTATATTAATTACAATGTAAAATTATTAGGCCTTTAAAAAATAAAATGTTTTAAGTTATGGTTCAATATTTAAAAGTAATGAATTTAAATCCTAACGATTGAAGTTAAAATGGATTTTTTAAATAAAATCAAAAGTTCTATAAAATAAGCACCTGTAATTTATGTCTACCTGATTACTAACCTGATAAACAAACATTTGTTCTAATACATCCTGAGCTAAATTATACTTTTCATTCTGAAGAATAAGCTTACAATTTGAAATAATGTTATTGCTTTTATCTAATACGGAAAAAATTTCCGATGAAATATCGGAACTTCTAACAATTGATACTTCAAAAGAGTTTAACTGAAACCTATTAAATAAAAATAAAGTTAAAAAAGTATTCAACTAAATATTAATTTAGTTAACAAATTTATAAAAATAACCTATCGATGACTGCAGTGACAATGTCTGTTTTTAAAGATACACTGTTGATTTCTTTTTGAATTTCTAATGTTTTTTCTATCAATTCTTTGGTTTTGTACTTGGTGGTCTGTAAGTTTTTCTTCATATCAATTAATGCAGAATTCATTTCATTAATCCCTGCAATAATACATTTATATTTACAAAAAAAATTACTCATTAAACAAAAATTTTTAATTAAAAATAAATTGTTACCTCCACAAACTTTTTGGAAACTTTCTTTCATGTCTCTAAACGATACCAAAAAATTTCTGTTAATTTTTATCATTCTTTCTTCAATAAGACTTTTTAAATTTCTTCTACTTTCAGGATTATTGTTTTCAAGAAATAATGATAGCTCAGACAATCCTTCAATTATGTCCTGAAAAAAAATTACAAAATCTAAATGTAGAAGTAAAAAACATTATATGCATGATAAATTTGACTGTTTATTTTAAATAGTTAATATAATCGAAGTAAATAAAATCAAGTAATTCACCTTATCATTTTCAACTCGTAAGTCAAATAATTCAGACATACGTTTGGAAAATATATTGCTAATAACATTTTTTTCTGTCATAGTTGTTAAGCACTTAAAAGATCATAAGTTGTTTTTAAAAAAAATAATTAAAAATTATAAATTTCTGTATTTTATATATATATAAATTAGCCAAACTGTTAAAATGTTTGCTTCATATTTTATAGTTTAAATATTTTGTATTCTTAAAAATATAATTAAATTTTCAAATTAAAGTTTACAACAATACTTTTAAACCATATTAACAAGTTCAACAAATATTTTTAAATTAAGTTTCCATAGAATAATAAAATTTTTCATCGTGTACTCTATCTTAGTCTCTAAGATAAATTTAGTGTTTTAGTTTTACGAAATTAATAAAATAGTGTCTAATGTAACCTATTTATTAATTTTATTAATAATTGAATTGACATTTATTTTTTTTATTTAAAACTTTTAAAGTTATTAAATCACATATAAATATCACAATTCGAGAATCCTAATCGACTTCAACTTTACATCTTTTACTCTGTGGTCTGTAGTCTAGTGGCATTCACGGAATATTAATAAATTTTTAAGGTAAAATAATCTCAAAACATCTTTAATTAAATGACTCTAATTTATTTCTACAAACGTTCTATCTTTTATTAATTTTAAGTACTCAACGGTGGTAACTGTTTTATTATCATTTTTACCGAAAACAGTTTAAAATTTTATCCTGTAATTTTTCAGTGCTCAATGTTTTGCCCCCATAACTTTAATTTCGAAAAATTAGAATTTTATGTAAAATAAAATGAGCAAAATTGAGAATAAGACACTTTAAAATAAAGAAACAGAGTTAAAATTTCAATTTTACAAGATTCCTTTTGATATTTCAATTTTCTCATAATAAGCGATACCAAATTTATTTTTACAACTATTACTTTTTAGGATTCAGTATGAAGTTCAATAAATTTGTAACTTTTTCGAGGAGGAAAAACAGGAAACGTCATTTTACGGCTCCTTCTCATATAAGAAGACGTATTATGTCAGCTCCCTTATCTAAGGAACTGAGGCAGAAATACAATGTTAAGTCAATGCCCGTCAGAAAAGATGATGAAGTTCAGGTTTGTTTATAACTGTTCTTTTTTTTTATTCTGTTATGTGTAATCATACAAATGATTTCCTTTTTTAATTTTTTGACATATCTTTATATAAAAAAGTTTTTTTCAATGCAAGTTCCTCCCAAAAAGTAGACATATGGAAAAATGTTGTAGTACTCATGACAGGGTATTTTAAATCTGTAACTCAATTTAAAAAAAAATGATGAAAAGTAATTCATTCTCTGATAGAACCCTCAGGAATTTGTTTTTCAAATTCTTGCAAGAGATCATGTAGATTAATTATAATCTGATTGCAAATCTGAGTAAAACTAACAAAGATAAACATTATTATTAAGTTTTCTAATTTTTACCATAAATTTTTCAGGTGGTTAGAGGACATTACAAGGGACAACAAGTAGGTAAAATCATTCAAGTGTATCGTAAAAAGTTTGTCATTTATATTGAAAGAATACAAAGAGAAAAAGCTAATGGTGCAACTGTATATGTTGGAATTCATCCTTCTAAAGTAAGTAGTATTTTAAAGCAGTAATGTTTTTTTTTTATATTTATTATCTACATTGATTTAATTCTTGTTTAGGTTGTTATTGTAAAACTTAAAATGGATAAAGACAGAAAGCAAATTATTGAAAGAAGAGCTAAGGGAAGATTAGCTGCTTTGGGAAAAGACAAAGGCAAATATACAGAAGAAACTACTGCTATGGACACATCATAATTATTAAATTAAAAACCAATAAATTGTTTTTACTTGACATCAATCACGTTTTTTTTGTTTTTTTTTTTTTTAATATTTCCTGTAATTTTACAAATTTGATTTGTTATATCATAAAATCTGCTATCATCCTGCTCACATAAAATTTTTTCAAAACTACATACCATGAACTGTAACAATCAGATTTGAGAAATATCAGTTTAATATTTTTTTAAAAATTTTATTAGTTCCTGTTATTGGTTGTTATGTGATTAATATTTTTATGTGAAGAAAATTCTTTTTTTTTTAAACCATGGGTATTTTACACATAATATTATGGGTTTCATTTAGCACAATTGAGTGCCTATCACTTAATTCTCAAGGATCTCAAGAAAGAAAAGAATTAATTACTCAAAGAGGTTTCTACAGTGGACTGGGCTTTTCATATGTGTTAGTAAAATTTAAATTTTTTAATTTTTACACTAAGATAAGAAATATGTAAAAAGGTTTTACTATTTTAGGCCTTTTGGGGAACCGCTAGCAATTCTTGCTGGTTTGGCATTTTTGGCATACATGATTCAAGCGTTTCACATTTTATATACTAATAACGGACTTTTAAATAATGTTTTGCCTGCAAAAAATAATTAGGAGCAAGTGAACAGTTTTTAAAAATTTTAGCAATTATGCTGTTAACAAAATTTTTTTTGGTTTTTTATTTTGGTGGAATAGTAGCATTCAAAATTAAAGCAGACATTGCTAGTTTTTAAAAAAATTATTAATAAAGGTAATATGTATATTATACATATTATATTATAGCATGATTTTGAAAATAACTTATATAATTTATTTTAAATAAAGGAAAAAAAACTAAAGTTTTTCTTAATATTATAGAAAGTTCAAAATTAGTACATTGTTTTACACTAAAATTAACTAAATCAAATTTGTAATCAAAGTTTATGAAATAAATTTTTTTATTAAAGATTATTATAGTTTTTTTGTAATGCCTTTTTTACAATAATTTTATTCAAAGTTTTATTATTAGTTTATGAACGAATTAAAATACGAAAATAAGACACTTACTTTTTTAAAAAACATTATGTGAAAATAATTTTTTCCCCTCTTTGAAATATCCGAATTGTGCGAGTAAAGTTTAGTGTAAGTAACTTGATCGACTTCCCGCCATTTTATCTAACCAAAGATAATAGAATGACTGAGGTAAAAAAATCGTGGAATGTAGTTTCAAATTTAGAAGAAATTATTGAAATATTAACTTCTGAAAATTTTGACAAATTTGGGCATCATTTATTTAATTCTAATATACCAGAAAAATGTTTTTTAGAACCTTGTATTTTAGGAGTTGATGAAGCGGGTCGTGGTCCGGTGTTAGGTAATTGTATAAAAAAAATAACGAATTATAAAAATTTAATATTATTTGTTTTTAAATAGTTGTTTAAAAAGAAATTTTAATTTTTTTTTTAAGGGCCTATGGTGTATTCTGTATTTTTTTGTTCAATTAATGATGCTGACATTTTAAAAGATATAGGATGTACTGATTCAAAAGTACTCACAGAAAAAAAAAGAGAAGATATTTTTGACTTAATTAATCAAAACAATGATAAATTAGGATGGGCAGTTGACTTATTATCTCCGAATTTAATTAGTAATAGAATGCTTCAAAGGTAATGAAACAATATTAAAATAAAGATTTTGGGTGTTACATATGAAACAATATAAATACAATATTAATGCTTATGTATTTCAAATATATTTTAGAAAAAAATATTCATTAAATGAAATTGCTCAAAATTCTACAATAAAGTTAATTGAAAGTTTATTAGAAAAAAATATAACACTAAAGGATATTTTTGTCGATACTATTGGCCCTGCAGACAAATATCAAGTGAGTTAAATTTTTAAACTGGACATTAATAATGAAATTTTTTAAATTGATTTATTCATAATTATATAAAAATTAGTATTTGTTACATACCATAAAAAGACAAAAGATTATTGGGATTTAAATTTTTGTCTACATTTCAAATTTAAGATGTCATTTTCAAATGTAAAATTTTTAACTGGAGCAGATGTAAATCCGACAAAGAAATTATCAACAGGTAATATTAACTTGGATAAAATTCTTTGTGGAGGTATCATTGCAAAAGGAATCACAGAAATTTGTGGTGAAAGTGGATGTGGAAAAACACAATTGTGTTTACAATTAAGTTTATCCGTTCAATTTCCAGAGAATATGGGAGGTTTAAATGGAAATGCAATTTACATTTGCACAGAAGAAAAATTTCAATCCAAAAGATTAAATCAAATAGTTAAAAATTTCACTCATAAAATTGATAAAATCAATAATATTAATTTTACAGATAATATATTTGTTACTTATGTCGCAGATCACCTTCAATTTAAAAATTTATTCAGTAAAATTATTCAATTAGTGCAAAATAAAAATATTAAATTGTTAATTATTGATAGCTTGACATCACTTTTTAGAGGAAATATTTTAGACTGTGAAGGAATGCAAAAAGTCAATGAATTAAGATCTATAGCAAAATTTTTCTATAAACTTTGTAATGATTACAATATTTTGGTTATTTGTGTCAACCAAGTTTCTCAGTCGCCTGAAATAAATGAACTTGTACCTGCACTTGGTTTGGCTTGGGGAAATCTTATTAATACAAGAATTCAATTAAAGAAAAAATTAACATCTAGAACTTTGGAAGTAATTTTTTCACCATCGATTCCTCATGGAGAAATTGAATTTTTTATAAATGAATTCGGAGTAAATGCTTAAAATGTTTGATTGATTCTTCTACAGGAATTATAACTTTTTTTTGTTACCTTTGTGTACATGTCATCATAATAATAACTAATTTTAAATAATAATCATTATGCAAAGTAAAGAAAACTTTTTTATAAAACACACTTAAATAAATAAATTTAATTAGCAACAGAGTATTAGTGAGAGTTATTAATTGAAAAATGAAAATAAAACTGAAAATAGAATCGGTTTACTATGTTGTAGGAAAAACTATCTAAGTTATTTCCAAATAGTAAAGTCACTGTTAAATCTAAAGCCGATTTGCTGTATCCAGTAGTTGGTGCAGCAAGTATTTGTGCAAAAGTAATTAGAGACACTGCTGTTCAACAATGGAAATTTCCAGAAAAAATAACAATAGATGCAGAATTTGGAACAGGATACCCCGGGGGTAGGTATTAATATATAAAAATTTTTAAAGAAAAAATACAATTAGAAAATTGATTTATGTTTTTTTTTTTTTTAGATCCAAAAACCAAAAAATTTTTACTTGAAAGCAAAGATTCTGTTTTTGGATTTCCAAATTTAGTTCGATTTAGTTGGTCAACATCTGCAAAGCTATTAGAGGAAGAAACTTTAGTAGAATGGTAATTAAAAATGTTAGTTATGTGGAAATAATCACAGATTTAATTTATAAAATTAATATTTTTAACAATTTTTAGGGAAAACGAAGAAATTATTAAAACCAATACAACCAAAACAACCAGTACAATTAAACAATCGAAAATTTCAAGTTTTTTTACTAGTGTGCCAAAAAAAGACAAACATGTAACTACTTGTAATTATTTTAAAAAGCGAAATTTGCAAAGCCTTATTAATTTTAACTAAAATTGTTGTTAATTTTTCCTTATTTTGAATTTTAATTATAAAAATGACAATTGATAACGATATTCTTAACGATTTATCTTCATTAGTCTACTTAATTTTTTTTTATTAAATTTAGTTGTGTATCGAAATTGAACAAAATAAATTTTAAGACTGAATTATTTTATTTGATAATAAAAATTCTCTATTTAAAACTAAATAAAAACTGACTAACAATAATAATTTTTATTATTATTCTGGATCATGAGGAAGTTTAAATCCAACCATTGTAGCTGTTTCTTCAACAGTTCTCTCTCCTCTTCCTTGATATTTTTTATGTATTTCTTCAAAAATTCTTTGACTTTTGAGATAACATAAATAAGTTTCTGCTAAAAATTTCATTTCTTCTCTAGCTTTACATGCTTGTTCATCTGTGACTTGATATTTACGACATTGTATTAATATATAATTAGCCAGCAATGATTTTTCATTTTGTCTTAACGAACTGCTATTTTTGATTTCTTTTATTAAATTTCTCACAATAGAAAGGGTATTATTCATTATTTATTTGTGTTTCTGTAATCTTTTTAGTTATAAATTCAATATCACTGTGATAAATTGGTTCTGTTTCTAAACTATTCAAAAAAAAATCACAATCAAGTTCGATTTGACTAATGTAATGAATTGATATGTCATTAAAAATATTATCAAAATAATAACTGTTTTCAATTTCTATTTCTTTTACTTTAGGAAATATTTTCTTTATGTAATTTGCTGAGGCTTTAATAGTCTTTTCTGTGCAATCTTGTAAAATTTTTGAAAAACTGTTTGAAATAATGATGCAATTTTTTAAATTATTATTCCAATTAGCCCACAAAAAATTATTAATTAATTGTTTAGGACAATGGGGGAAAAAAACAAGACTCACTAAATTTTCAGAAAGTTTTCTCTTAGCTTCTTCGTTTTCTAATAATAATTCAAAATTTAGTTTTTCTAATATTTTGATTTCTGTTACATTAAACGCAGGATCATATATTTTTACTTCAGGTTTATACTTATTTTGTAAAACTATCAAAGCTGCTAATTGATGCAAAGCAGTTTTACTCTCGGAAAAATTTCCAAGACCATAACAAATTATTTCTTCAATACTATTTTTATTAACAAATGTTAAATAATCATTAATATCATTTAATATGCTTTGACAAAATTGAGATAATTCAAATTCTTTTACAGCCGTTTCTACTTTCCTAAAAAATAAAAATAAACTGCTTTTTATGCTTTGCGATTTAATTTTATAATTACAAAAAGGACTGCTATTAATTCTAACCTAAATTCATAACTTTCTAATGAAAACGATAAATCTGATGACGAATCTGAAAATTTTTTACGTTTTTTTTTCTTTTTGCTTTTTACCAATTTAAAATCATTGAGCATATTATTTTACTTACTAAGTAGTAAAGTGATACGGATCAAAAAAATTTATAAAATATAAACATTCATTAAATTCATCGTAATAATATAAAAAGGTTTTTAAATAAAATCACTTAATCGTTAATAAGTTAATTTTTTTCTAAAATACCTAAAAAAATTATATTCCTAAGAAATAAATCCTAGCTTTACGTTTAAGACGATATAAAATTTACTAAGTGCGAAGTTGTTTGTTTTGTTATTCTATGACATCTATTGACACGAAAAAATTTTGAAATTAATTCGTTGCAAATAATTACTTTTAAACAAATAATGAATATCAAAAAAAATATTAGTATTTTAAAATATATAATTAATATTTAAAATAAAAAAAAATTAACAGAAAATGTATTAAGACAAATTAATGAAATTATACTTACTTGTTGATTTTTTTAATCTCTAAAATGTATATTTCAATTTAAAATTTTTTTTAAAACTCGCACAAAATTTTAAAATCAAAACCTAAATAAATGCAAAAAAATTTTATTTAAAAAATGTATACCTTTTAATAATGTATATAAAAATAACATGCATTTAAAATTTTCAATAAAATTTTTTTAAAATAAAACTTTACAAAAAAAAATTCTAACAGTATAAAATGCTAGTAAAAAATTTACAAAAAAAAAAAAAAAAAAAAAAACAGAAAAAAAAGAGAGAGAAAAATTAAGCATTTTTATACTGATTTTTTATATATTTTGCAATGGTACTCAGTTGCATATTGCTTGTACCTTCGTATATGGTACCAATTTTACAATCTCTGTAAAATTTCTCTTGTGGAAAATCTTTAGTAAATCCAACCCCTCCCATCCAGTCGATACATTTTCGCGTTACGTCGTGTGCGATTTCTAAAATAAAGTAAGTTTTTGATAAGTTTATAATTTGGAGAAACAAATCGATGAAAAAGTAAATATATAATTGCCATTTTGTCAAAAAAAAAAAAACCTCCAACGTACCAGTTGCATATAATTTGGCCATGGATGCTTCTTTAACAAACGATTGTTTAGTTTCAACTAAACGTGCTGCATTGTAAACTAAAAGTCTTGCTGCTTCTATTTTTGTCGCTATATCAGCTATTTGATGTTGCATAGACTAAAATAAAATTTAAACTTTTATTTTTTATTGCTTTACAAAGATAATTACACGATTACTCGATTGAAAATTTACCTGAAAGTCATAAATACTTTGTCTAAATTGTTTTCTATCTAATGTATAAGGAATGGTTGCATCGAAACATCCTTGAGCCACTCCCAACATTTGTGATCCGATTGCTATACGTCCTTCATTTAAAAATCCAGCAGCGTATTTATAACCTTGACCGTATTCACCCAAAATGTTTGTTTTCGGTACCTAAACAATAATTTTTTCAGAATAATTTATTTACATTTCTTTTGTTTTTTGTGAGTCATCATTAAGAGACTTACTCTGACGTTGTCAAAATGAACCATGCAGGTACCGGAAGCTCTTATTCCTAATTTGTCTTCTTTTTTGGCAACCGATAATCCCGGAGTATCTCTATCGACGAAAAAGGCTGTTATACCTTTATAACTGCTTTCGGGATTGGCATTTGCAAAAACCAAAAAAACTTGGGCAATATCAGAATTCGATATCCACATTTTCGAACCATTTATTATAAAATCATCACCGTCTTTTTTAGCAATCGTTTTTAAGCTAAATGCATCACTTCCACTCGTGGGTTCGGTTAAACAAAAACTTCCAGCCTGTTAAATATACACACACACACACGCATTTCTTCAATTTTTTTTCTTTTTTCATTTACCATTATTTACCAATAAATTTTCAATAATTACTTTTTGTTGTGCCAATATTGGCAAATAATGACTTTTTTGAGCTTCGTTTGCAACTTTCATAACTAAAGAACAAACTAATGTGTTGTGAACGCAAACTAACGTCGATACGGCAGCATCAACTTTTGAAAGTTCTTCAACGGATAATATTGTCACCATGAAATTACATCCGGTTCCGCCATATTTTTCATCAATTTCAATTCCCATCAACTGAAATATGAAACATATATCATTTTTTTATAATAATTCGTTAAATTAACTTGAATATAATTTTTAATAAGACTTACGCCATTTTGAAAAAGCATATCAACAACGGCTGGTTCCATGTCAGATGTTTCGTCCATTTTTTTTACAAAGGGTCCAATTTCTTGAACTGCCAATTTATTAACTTGAAAAAAAAAAAAAAAAGTTTTTAAATTAATTAATCGTCGTGACCTTAAATAAAAATTTGCTTTATTATTTAAATAAAAAATAACTTTTTTAATTAATAATTCGAAAACAAAACGAATTATCACAAACATAATGAATTTTTTTGATAAGCATAATTATTAAGAGAGTATTTACAAAAAAAATTTTTTCTTTATTACTCTACATTACACAAACAATATAAGAAATAAATAAAATCAGGTAGGTATAATATCGAACCTGTTTCTTTCATAGCTATTTCATCTTCCGTCAGGGAAAATAATGGCAAATGTTGTCCAGATATTTCCGAAGACATAAATCTCACGGTTGGATTACATATCTGACTGTTTATCCCGCTGACATACTTTGCCGTTTTCCACGCCTGAAAAAATTATTATTATTATTATTAATATTATCATTCAAATTAAAAAATTTTTAAATAAAAAATTAAAAACTCATTTTTTGTTTGTTTTTTTCAGGTTTTATTTAAAATTTAAATCGTAAACAAAAAAAAAAAACCGTCAAAACTCGGTAATAATTTATTAATCTCATATATTTTCAAAACAGTCGATTTAATAATAATAGTAATAATAATAATAATAATAATAATAAAAGAATAAGGCGCTGGTGTTCCATGGTTGACAAACCTTTTAGTCATATCGTTTTCTTTAATTAATTTTAATAGTTTTTTTTTAGGGTTTATTTATAAGTTATATATCAAAAGTTTTGTAATTTAGTCTAGTTTACAGTGATATAATTAGTTTTTTAAATTATTTAGTAATAACTATATTATCTCAAGTTTAAATTTACAAATTGTTCAACGATTCCATGTGACAAAAGGAAGCGTGGGCAATAAAAAACCTTAGAAGGCACCTTAGTACATATAAGTTAAACGGATAAGTACCTCATTTTAAGACTTAAATTTCAATTGTAAAACGTTAGGCTAACAAAGAAATTGAACACATAACCAAAAAATTTTTTTATTTTTATTTTTTTTTATATTTCTTTGATTAATTATAAGTGATTTGACTATTTATATCTTTATCTTATTTAACAAAATAAGAATTAAAATATTTTTACAATAATATAGGTTGATACATGATTTTTTCAGGGTGTAATTTCTATACCCTTATTGTTAAGTGTTAACTTGTGATTGTATGTTATTTTAGCCTTGTCTTAAGCTAACTTAATTCATTGTAGTAAAGTTTATTAATAATAACATAGTGTAACTAATACCTTTCTTAATCTGAATCAAATTAGAAAGTATAGTAGTAGTCTTTATTTAAGTGATATTAGTGTGAAAGGTACAACAGATTTCTCTTTAAC